ATCTAAGCAACATTTAACACATTTTTGGTTCCCAAATAAGTCTATTATCATCCCCCCATTTCCTGTTACAAAATAACTGACGTTTTTGTGAGATCTGCTTAGGACACTAAGGAATGTTTTCTCAGATGGCAATAGCATTTGATCTGATTACTTTGCAAAGATGAAAAGTGAATAAAAAGTGGCTGATTCTGCATGGCAAGATGTTTTACAATTGAATTTTTATGTTTATTTCAAAACTTAAGCTTTGGCATTTATTTGTCTCTGTTCTGCTATAAAGCTTCTTTTGTGACAATACAGTTTCCTAAAGTAGAAAAGCAAAGTAGACTTTGTATCATAAAACTTAATTCTCCTGAAAAGGTGAGTGTTGTTTTGTCTCCCCCTCTTTCCTGCTCACAAAGAAGTCTGGTTAACTTATTTCTGTGTTGGTGCAAGTTATGAGATGAAGGTATTCAGGCAGGAGCAGGGATGAGGGTAAACATGGAAGAGGAAGCAGCTGAACCTTCTTATTTCAGTTGAAATAATGAAATGAGTGACAGTTAACTTTGTCTTATGTCTGGGTGATGATAAACAGAGAGAAGTAATGCACCAAGGCAGTAGGCTTTACCTCCAAGACACAGCTAAATCATGAGATGTTTCCTTGTTTAGAAGCTAGTGGAAAAGTTAAATGAGATCAAAGGATCAGATCCATGGTGATTTAAGGGAACCAATGTTGTGGTTGCTGCAACTCTTTTGCTGGCAATAGCACTCATGAAGTGTCTCAGGGAACCACTTCATGGAGAGCTGAAGCACCTGAAAACTAATAAGTGGTTTGAGTCATTTTTCCTTAACCTTCTTAGTAGCCCCACATGATTGACAGTGCTAGGGTCAGTGGAAGAGCAGGCCCAGTTTAGATCAAGTTTGGTTATTGTGGAGCTGCCTCCTAAGGCAGCAGCATTCTGTTTCACCTGTCATGGTAAAACTGAAATTACTGCTAAAAGGGGCAATGCTGTTCTCTCCCCTTTTGCTGTTACCTTTTGCACCTGTTTCCTCTGTCTTGTTTGCTTCAAATTTAATGGCTTTTGTGGCTTTAGGAGAAGCCAGTCAAGTGTGTTTCTATAACAAAGCAATTCAGTGCTTCAGTGAGTTAGTTTCAGGTTGTTGAACCAATTCATGAGATCTGGTCCAAGGTAAGTGGCAGGAGTGCATAGCTAGAGTTAGGAGAATGAGTGGAGCAGGACTTGCCCAACTTTGGCTGCATGTTAAATGCACAGTAGTGAAACAAAGCACTTGGTGCAAAGCATTTGTGAGAAGCAGTCAGGCAACACAAAGGACCATATATACCTCTTTTGCAACAACCACTGGTGGTAGACTTCTGGGATTTTGAAGAAGGATATGTGTGTGCTTCATTTCTGCTTTTTCAGGAAGACAGAATTTGGGGTTTGAAGTTGCTTTGTTTTCTTTCATTTTTATTGTTTAAATTAATCTGACACTGCCTCTTATCTGCCAATCCTACGAACCCTTGAATTGTGACAAATTGCTTAGGTTAAGGAGAAAAGAATAGTTAAAAGGGACAACAGGTACTTAATTCACTGAAGGACAAAACCCCAAAAGGATGGAAAATCGTATTTTTACATTCTAAGTAAATGTTTACAAGTATCAGAATATATTCACTTCATAGTTATTTCGGTCTGGTTTGGATTACTTACTGTGTAAAACTCATCATCTCTTTAGTTATTGAAAATAAGATAAATCCCAAGTATAATGTATTTCATTAGGTGATGTCAGCAAGAGTGATTCATGTTAAGATTTTTTTTTTTCCCCACCTGTCTTTTTAGTTTAGACTCCTGTGGTAAACTCGAAGTTTTCAGAATGTTTGACTTTTATTTCTTTCCAGGTATAAATATGGATTCATTTGAAAGCCTGAATATAAAAACTGTAGGTATTTTTATATTTCTATTTGGTACTTCAGAGTAAGAAGTTTGAAATGTAGTTCTTCAGTTGTGTATCTGAGGCTGTAGAAGGCATTCTTTTTCAAGAGTTGCCTTTTTTCAGTGAAAAGCTCTTCCTAGGTATGAGTTATGTTCTGATATTTCTCGCAGTTTTCTGTGTTTTAACAACATTTGAATATTTTCTTCTTACACTATTTTTTTTTAATTTTACTAATTTATCCAGATTTTCCAGTAAGATTTAAAACAATCATAGGTTTTTAAAGTATAAAAATAGAGCTTAAACCATGGTTTTTGAGACATAAACTTTGTTATGCTGGTGTAAGGTTTCATTCTTTAACTTTTCAGCACTGTAAATGAAATACTGTACTGAAATAAATCAGATACTCGAAAATACGATGACTGCCATCATAAATGGAGGTATGTTAAACAGACATTTTTTAATTAAAGTTAACACCCATTTTAAGAGTGTTAGTAAATGTTTTCAATATGAAACATAGGTTTAATTTTCCACTTCAGTAATGAACTTTTCTTTTATTCAGTTGTATGACTCTTGTAACTCTCCCATTGTTCCAAGGACAGATTAAATGCAGTCAGAAGGGGGCCTTGACTTGATGGATGTGATAAATTATGCTAAAGTATGGATATCCTCTTACAGATATTTTTCAATTCGACATGGATTATGCTCTGTGAATCTTGCTAAACTAATTTAGGGTTTTGATATTCTGCTTTTCAAATCCTTTCTTTTGTGACATAGTTAATGTTTTTAAACACAATTTAAAATTCATATACTTATCTTATTTGTCCAAATGATTTAAATTTTAGCCATGTATGATGAAATCCCCATCCTTTTGACTATAGGACAAGTTAAGAAACCACATTGTGTATTTATTCTTTGTATTTTATATATTGGTGTAATTCAGTATAGTTTCCCATTCTTAGTTCTTGAAAAATCAAAACTGTTTAATAGCATGTTAAAATTACGATTTTGATATTTACATTTCACATATCTTTGTTCTCTTCTTTGAGCGTTAAATTAAGCATGCAGTTTAATACTTAGGTTGTTTACATTTATCAGAATATTATAACTGAACTTATTGAGGACTTTCATGGAATAGTATTTTCTCGAAAGTTTGTAAATAATTGTAACTTGACTTTTTTTTCTCCTTAGCTCATTGGCTAGCAGTTTTGCCATGGGTCATAAACGCATCTTTACTTCTCTCCTTCTAAGTTCTTTGAAGACTTGAGCATATGCCTAATTTTATGACTTGTGTCAAGTTACACATACCAATAAGCTGTGATATGATCAGGGTCTTCTTGTAGGAAAGAGGAAGACACATGCAAAACCACTCATTTTTAGTCTAACAAATGTGGTGGTGTGCGGGTAGAATAAAAAATGTTTAAAGATGAATTTTATTTGTGGCAGACTCCCAACTTATCCTATGAGTCATTAGCATGGTGCAGAATGGTATGGCCTTGTCCATGTCATGAGTCAGTGGTTGGTTGTGAGGTTCTGTAAGTCTCCTCCTATGTTTCACTGTGTCTCTGCTAGGTACAGACTCATTAGTCAAAGACTTGACTGAATTCCTTGCTGTATAAAAGAATTCCTGTGTGATCTAAAGGCTCTCTATTTTGGACTGTAACTTACTTGTCTTGGTGAAAGGACTGGCTGTCTACAGAGGTGTGACAGGTGGGAGCAGCAATTACTCTGGCACCACTGATTTTTGCATAGCTGTACAAGTACTAATGTTTTAGTTGAATCATTCAGTCTTGTATTTAAAGCTCTTAAATGTATCTAGATATTTTTTTCTTATTGGTTGGCTTTTGCTTTGGGTTCAGCTTCTGTATAGCTTTGACTCCCATCTATAATATAAAGATACCAAGTTACTTCTTATGGGACTGTTGTAAGATAACAAGTGTAAGGCATTCAGATATTGTGAGGGTGATGTGATCAGCTAGAGAGGTTTCCTAGATCAAAGGGAGGCTTTTGGGATTTCTACATGCTGTGAGAAGTCCTGGGGTGGACTCATCTTTGTGATGCTTAAAAAGGCAGACCAAATAAAACCAAAACTGTACAGCTGTTTCTCCTAGACTCTATCTAAAATTTGTCCATGTTTGTACACTTCAGCCCTGGACTACTATGCAGTTTATCAAATTAGTTAAGAAAAATTAATAGACTATTGTATTCAAACTCTAATGGTGACATTAATCTGATGGTATTCACTTTTGCCTGTCTCTGGAAATGGTGCATGTTCTTGCTGCTGGCTTTTGAGGTCTCAGATCTTTTGCTGCTGGAAATATGTGCATTGCTGTTTTTCTGGAGTACTCAGGTAACTGGCTTTTCATTTACTTTTTTTTTGGGAGAATGGTATTTCTGCCCATTTTGATTTTTCTTTTTTTCCCTTCTTTGTTTATTTTTTTCTATCTATCTGTTAGAGGCATATTAATCACAGAAGCATTAATTGTGCTAGTCTAAATATAGGACACTGACTGTTTTGATCCCTGGTATATACATTGCCATTTGACAGTTCAGATATTCATCTAAATAATTTTAGATATTTCTTGCTGATGCTCAGTCACAATTATTTCCTCTAAAAACTTTCCTTGCAGTTTCAGATATAATGTATTGCACCATGACTGGTAAAGATTTTTATTGTTAAACTTAACTGTAAGATAGCCAGTGACTGTAACTGCTTTTTGAAGATCATTATGACAGTACCCAGTTTAGCAAAAGACATCAAGTAGTTCAAGCAGTTTACTGATAATATTAATCTTCCCTCATAAAGAGCTAGGTTTGATTATTAATGTTGAGGTGTGTGAGGAAATTTAAAAAAAAACGGCTCAGAGCTAATTCATTCTCAGAGTTGAGGAGAAAACTTTTTATGAAATGTGAAATCTCCCCAATTTTCTCTTCATATCTTTATTTTGTTACAAAATATTTTCATTTATACTTAGGTGATTACTTCCAAATGATTCTTCCGGAAGAGTGTAAAATATTACCTGTAAAATTTTAGCTGTATATTCTTGTTAATGAAACATGGAACATTATCAGGTAAAAATGGCTTTTTCCTTAAAACATGTTTACTAAGCTTCTGAATATATGTGACCAAATAACTGGTTTCAGCTCCTTTGGAATAAAGGGATTATGTCAGATATAAAACCATAGAATTACGAGTAGCAACAGATGATTTAAAGTGACATCAGTCAACTTGATTTTTTTAACCGTCTAAAAATGTTAGTTAACTGTTAAAATGTTAAAATTCCTAAAAAAAAAGTATCCTCAGAGTAAGTCAAGACATTAAAAAATATCTTTGAAGATACACACTACTAAGTCTCCTGATTTTTACAGGAACTAGTAATTCCTCACTCAAACAGTAAGAAATTAAGCAATACACAAGGTGGGAAGTGTAGAATTACTTATAAAAATATATACAGGTGCTTTTGTGAGTGGTTTTATATTTTCTGTTTCCTACAAGTTGCTGGTACATGTTTAAATGAACAAGGCCAGGTACTGTATTTTAATGATATAACCTCATTTTTACCACTGTGCTTCATTCTTAACGTTTGGTTTTTGTTTGTTTTCGTTTTTAATAACAGGGCATAACTGATGTTGTTTTTCACTGATCTGAAGTTGTATGAGTATTATAATTAGCACACTGTTTGTTTAGGTGGTTGTACTTCATTAATTGCACATTTTCTGAGGTGACAGTTCATTACAGAATTCTTCCCTGTGCAATTATTTCAGTGATTTCTGTGCATTTGAACTTGTGACCAAATCTGAAATTCAAATATTAATTAAATGAAAAAAAAAGAAGCCCAAGATGCTCTTTGATAACATTTTTCTCCTCTGTCAGAAAACATTAATTGCTGGGAGCTTTTAATTTGAGCAAGAAAACTAAAATCCTTGAAATGAAATGTGCTTGTTTAGAGTAATTTATTAGACTACATACAGGGAGCAGTTAAAGAAAGATGTTGCAGATGCCCACCTAAAATTTTACAGGTTTCTTACAGACGTTCAGATCACTAAATCATAGTTACTGTTTTGCAAATTTTTTTACAAGCTGCTCCACCCCCTTGAAACCCAGTCCTTTGGAAACATACATATCATTTGTATATAATAGGAATATATCACATAGATATTATTTGAGGGAGAGAAATGGATTGACATCTTTGTTGCTTGAAGGCTGGATCTCCACTGAACACATTAATCAAGTATGTAGGTGCCATGTAACATCATAAAAAATACCTCTACAAGTTTTCCTACAGTCTTTCAAATTATTTTTCAGTCCTGATTTTCTAAAGTTATACAGTCTCCTTCACCTTTCTCTTAAGAATGCTGAATATTGCTGACTGTAATCTCTTCTGTATTTTATGTGGGATACTTGTACTAGAAATTGTTCTAATTCACTTTGTAGGTATGTGTTAATGCTCAAACTTCAGGTGAACGAGAATGATGATAGAGGGAAGAAAGTTAGGATAAAGATTTTTGAAGTCATATTTTTAGAGGGAGCACCATTTCTGAGCAGCCAGAGGTGTAATGCTTGTTTATTCAGTTGCTTTTGAGAGAAGTGAAATTTAATTTCTGAGCTAAGAGAGGAGAAGGAAACAAATGGCAACAAAGAAGCTGAAATTGCTAATAAGGGAAATATACAGAAATCAGATACTAGAAATTGCATTCCCAAGGAGAAATCATTTAGTATTAAAAAAAAAAACAACACACACACAAAAAAAAACAAAACAAACCTGTCACAAGATGATTAGTTTGACTATGATGATGATGCCATTCTTGAGTTCTTGCTGAAGTACCTGGGCAGAATTATTTAAGCAGGTCAGTGCTTTTCTGTATGTGTACTTTAAGACAAAGGCCTTATTAGGAGACTTACAATATTCCAGATTTAGTTGGAGAATTCTCTGTGTGCAAAAACCTGGACTATAAAAAGAATGAAATAGGCTCTGTGGGTTATGAACATGTGATTGGAAAATGTATTGCACATTGCAAAAATTTACATGCAAATATTAATGAAATTCTTTGGTTTTTTTTAATCCACTTTCTCTAATTTGCACTGATAATCAGTATTTTTCACAGTAACTCTTGCAGGTTAGGCTTATACGGGATAGTTAGTTTATCTAAATTTTGTCCCATCTGGCTGTTGTGCTTCCTGCTTCTGTTATAGAAGTTCAGGGTCCACAGGAATTCTGAGCATGGGTTTTACAAATAAAAGCAAATTAAATGTGAAATATAAAATTTGGTGGAAAAAAAAAAGTTTTGTCTTCTCCTGCTGCTTGCCCTCCACTTTTTTATTTTGTTCATAATTCATAAATTTATTTACCTTTTGTCCCTGATGTCATCTTTCATATGCTGGAACATTCATGCTCCCTCTTAAATCAAAGTGCTTCTGCTCAGTACAGCTGGGTTAACGGGCCTGTGAAATCGGAGTAGAAATTCGTCAGCATTTGAACCTTTGAAAACTAAAATACTGTGACAAAGTTCGGTATCTCTGGAGCCTACTAACAGGGCTGTTAGCTTGTGGTGAAAGCAGCGCACCCCGAAATGTCAGTCAGCGGGAGTGGGGGATTGCTGCGAGTTAATTAGGAGCAATTAGCTGGTCTCCCTGCTGACCAGACAGCTATTACCTTTCTCTTCTTTGCCCTTCCCCTGATGCCGCTGCGGGACAACGAGTTGTGGCAGCGATGATTGCCTGAGAGTGTCCGTGTCCGTGTCGGTGCGGGCGGTGGAGGCACGGGGCCGCGCTGAGCCCCGGCCCCCTCCCCGCCCCGCCGCAGTGTGGAGGGAGGGACCGCGGCCCGCAGCCGCCTCCCGCGCCGCGCCACGCCGGGCGCTGTCCGGGGTGCTGATCCTTGCGAGCTGTGCGCTGTCCGAGGTGCTGAGCCGTGCCGGACCGAGTGCTGTCCGAGGTGCAGAGCCGCGCCGCGCCTCGCCCCGGCGGCACCATGGTGTTCGCTCCAGGTAAGGGCAGCCGCTTCATGTGCCCGGGCAGGGGAGCCCCGTGTGAAGGCCCCGTCCTTTCCGGAGAGCTCCTCCGAGGCTGTGGGGAGGGAGTGACGGCTGAATGCCAGCTGCCACAGAGAAGGGACAGGTGGTTTCAAAGAAGGTGACTTAAGGTTAGGATGTGTGGAGCCAGAGGTTAATAGGGTCACCCCTGTGGTTCCCATCAGGGACAGGAGCCTTCTGTACAAGTGTGCAGGGGACTGTGCACAAAAGGGTCAGAAAGTCACTGCATGGCCTTGCATGGAGAGTGAGTACCCCCCCAGTGCCTGCCAATGAGACAATCATCTCTGAAACTCATGGAAATACTTTACAAATTTCCATTCCTCCTTCCCCTCCACTGCCTCAAGTGTTTGAATGGAAGAGAAGAGAAAGTTTCTTCAGTATAGCTTTTAGTGAAACAAAAATTGACTTCAGCAGGAGCTCATGTCTAATGCGAGACCTCACTCTATGAGGTTGTAGAATCTCTGCTGTGTAGTATGTATGTGCTACACCACAGAAGAAAGCTGAAGAGAATCTGTATTTGGCTTGGTGCATTCTGCTTGCAATAGGCAGTTTGTTGTTCAGAAAGCTATGAGAGACCCAGTAGCTCCAGGATATAAATGTAATTCATGTATAATATCTTCTGTAGCGAAATGACTTGAAATTAACTTTGCTTAAGATGTATAATTGTCAGTAAAAATAGTGGGTCAATAAAAAGGCAACCTAAAAGCTGCAACTTGACAATGAGTAACTATTAATGCCTTTGTTTTGCAAAGCTAATGGAAGTTTTGTCTTCCTTTGAAATTCTATATCCAATCTGTAGAGGGATAAGAATCTGAAATCTTTATACCTTCATTAAAAAAAAAAAATGATCTCGAAGCTGACTTTGCTAACTTGACACAGATGAAATCTGTCAGAAATTAATATCCTTTTTCAACAATCAGAAATTCATTTTGTCTCTTTAACAGCCCAGTTGCCGTCTAATTTGATACTTCCTTGTACATCATGTTCTGAAACTGGGACCAAGTTGTTTATCTTAATAGAACCAGCAGTTGGTTTTTGTCCTACACCTTTCAGTATCAGTGGCTCTTTCTGAATTCCTTCTATCTGGCAGAGTGTCACCATCAACTGTACTAATTTTTCAAAAGCACTATGGGACTGGAATATTGCAGGAAGAGATTACCCCTAAAGTAATGAAAACATGCTTATTTTTCTGCAAAGGCTGACAATGAACAAATCACAAATCTCATTAATAACTGCATGAATTGTTCTTTTCACAACTCTAATCCAGAAAGAAAAAAAAAAAAAAGTTGTGAAAATCTGTTTTGTATAGTCGTCATTCTTTAGTCTGCTTTTACTCAAAGAAAAGTCCATGGTTTCCTTGCAAATGTTGCCATAATATACATAGGGTAACTAAGTAGGAATTTATAAAAGAGATGATAAAGCAATCAGAGGGGCTTGACAGTCTCTTGTATTCAGACAGAGCAAGCCTGAGTAGATTGCATTTTTTTAATTGCTTTTCTTCACTGTAAATTAGCCCTGCCCTGGTGTTATTGCTTTACCAGATATTAAACAACACAGGGGTTTTGTACATCATTATAGCATCTTCATAGTACTTAAGGCCATATGGTATCAGAATGAAGTATGTTTACTGAGAAACTAAGTTTAGTGTCTTGAATCAACTTTTTGGTTTTATTCTGCTGTGATGAATAACCTTATTTTCTGTACATTTATGTTTTGGGAGGGTCAGAGAGGGGAAGAAGAAAATTTGTCTAACTATAAATGGTTTGGGTCAGAATGCTAAGCATCCTTCCCGGATGGGGGTGGGAAAAAAAGGAAACAAACCAATAACAATCAAAAAGAAACTGTCTTCCAGAAAAATAATGGAGCTTGTTTATCAAGATAAGATTTTGCAAATGAATAAGATGATGCTCTCTTCCCGAAGGTAGTAGATACATTATTGCAGAGCACTGAATTAACACCTTGTGTTTATAAACTTTTAAATGGGAAAAGCTTATCGAGTTTAATATACTTTCTCAAAGGCAAAGCCAACTGACCATTGACTGAATAGATACTTTCAAGTTAAACTTCAACTCTTTTGCCTAAAACTTACAGCTACTATGTAAAACAAAAAAACACAAAACCCAAGCAAACAACACCAAAAAAAAACCCAAGAAACAATAACACCCCCCCCCACATACACACAAGACAACAAAAAAAAACCACAAACAAACAACAAAACAGTACCCACTCCAAAGCCCTACAAACAACCAACCAAGCCTGGATATTACTGAGCTAGATACATCAAAATTGTTGCAAAAAGTCCAGTATTTTGTCTTCAAAACTGGACTTTCTGGCTCATTCTAGGCAGTATATTGCTGTTTACAGGTATGCAAAAAATTATTATTTGTATGTGATTTTTATTCATACCCAGATTTAAATAACCTTGAGTCTGTTCCAGAGAAAGGAACTGCAAAAAGTACATTTTTTCCTTACTCGGTTTAATTTGACTGGGCCTTCATTGCACTTTGTTGGGTTGATTGACTAATGCCAGGTTGGTGTATAGGAAATGCAATTCAAACTCTATGAGTTGTCTGGGAGTTCATTTTAGCAGGAGCATTCCCACATGATGTGCTGCCCTTGCACTGGAGGATGATCCATGTAGTAGAAAACTGGACAAGGTATACATGGCGAAGTTTAGCTTCCTTTTCCTGAATTGAACTGGTTTAGGGAAGCTGAGAAGTAGACAAGAAAAGTGTTACTGATTGTTGGATGTAAGGATGAAGGTATGTGTGCCACTGTAGTAGAGAAACATGAAATTTCAAGGTTATAGATCAGGTCAAAAAGCAAAGTGAAGCTGTAATTGTTGAATTGGCAGATTTTCTTAGAAAAATTCAAAAGAGAGTCTATTGCAGAATTTAAAAAACCCAAACAAAACAAACAAACAAAAACCAGCAAACAAACAACCCCACCAAAACCAAAAACAAACACCCCCCAACCCCCCCCCCAAAAAAAAACCCACACCAAAATCCCAGTTCCAAATTAGCTTATAAAAGACTGATGACTATAAAAACTCACGGAAGAAATATCTGTCCTTGTAAGGTTAGGAAGAATAAGCAAAACATTTATTTGTTCTAAAGCATTAGCAAAAACTATAGGATGCACCAAATTTTCTTTTATTACCACGTCATTAATTTACAAAGGAGTGATCACTTCCACTATCAGGATTAACCAGATTTAACAATAACTTTAAATGTTGTTAAACAATATCTTAATGCTTCTTTGCAAATTGCTTTCAGTTAACTTCTCCCCAGAATGACCTTGGGCATATTCCATGCTTATCTTCACCCCTAAAACTTTCTTTCCTCCAGTGGAAAGGTAAAATAAAATTTAAAATAATACTGTTTATTTCTGAGTTGTCTAAACAAATGGGAAACATAGGAATTTTTCATGCTTGAAGGGTTGTTTTTGTTTCCTGATGCTATTTTCCATGAGTCACTTAAACACTTCTGTCTTGGACCTTTGCCCTTATGTGTATGTACTGATACAGCACACAGATGGCCTGCATTTTTAAAACTAGCTTGAGAACAAACTTAGAAACCTATTAAAGATATCTGAACTACCTAATGTTTTTTCCAGCAACTTCTGCTAGAGTATAATTTCAGTGATCATTTTAGTATATTTTTAGAATTTTACTCCATAGTGTAAGACCATAAAAAAAAACCTAAAACAAATTAGAGTTTCATCATTGCATTGTTTTCACCCAGTTAGTACTATACAAAGTTGTGCTTGATTGACTAGGGATCTTTATTTTTGGCTAAATAAAATCTTTTTGCAAGGAATCGGTTTTGATCTGAATACATCAAGGCAGTTTGTTTCAGTGTCTGAACACTCCCATCCTTTACGCTTTATCTACTTTGAGTTGTGCAATTTCATCTTTCAGATGAGTTTTGTTATTTTTCAGTGTCAATTGAAGAATTCTCCTGACATTTTCTCCATAACTAGGAACTTGAAGGCTTTACTCATGACCCTGCAATCCCAAAAGAAGAAGGAGGTAGAACTCATTTTTGTATCAATGTTTCTATGTAAAAAGATGTGTGAATACACTTAAAGTTTAAAGATAGACATTAGAGAAGTCAGAATATTCACTGCTCAGCACCTTTTCCTTACAACAGCAACACAAATAGCTTTTCAACCAGCTTTTTAGCAGCACAGCTGTTCTTAACATTTTTAATCTAGGAGCAGCGTAGCAGACTTGTGTAATGATACTGCAGATCAGAAGTGCATCCTGTACCAAACATTTTGGGAATCTCATTAAGCTGCAATTGAAGACGTAGCAGCTGCACACTGAAACAGATGTGCTTACTTGTCTGAATAGTCCTGGTCTTCTGTAGTGGAAAAGATGGGAAAACAGCAACTTGTTGTGCTGCAGGATGCAAAGACAAAAAAATTCTTGATAGCCTTTTGCTTTTTTTGGTTTTAGAGTTACCCCTGGAGAACTGTTCACAATGCACAGATTGAGACACTATGCAGGGACCTGTTAATGAATAGAAAAATGGCTTGTCCGCATTACTGCTGTGCTACATTCTGCTAATGCTCTAATTCTGCGGTACCAAAAAAGCACCCTAATATAAGATGTAAGAGTATATATATGTGGGATTCTTTCCTAGCTTAGTGTTGATGAAGTCCATGTGATGGACCTAATTTGGAGTCTATAGGTGAGACTACTTTGCAGACTTCATGCAGTCTGATACAATAGATGCTTTTGTCCAGAATTTGTGGTGGAGTATGGAGGCCAGTTGCCATCCAAAATTATCTGTACTCATTTCCAGCTAACAGCTTGCAAGAATACTTCAAAGTGTTTGCCACCTGGTAAGAAGAAATTGTATAGGAGGGAATTTCTTGTTCTGTTTTGCTGAGGAAAAATTGTTTCTTGTGATGACCTCTCCCCGGTGATCTTTTCCTTGCTGTGAAACTCC